GGGGGGGGGGGGGGTAGCCGCGGTGAACGGACAACCCGAACCGCAACCCCTAACCCACAAACCCAAACCCTAAACTCCCTTACCTCCAACCCAGCCCTCTAAGCCCACAACCCCATCTTTTTCTGGGACACTTTTCTCTGTTCATCTATTGCGGCCTTCGGTCTTGTGTTGTCCTATTAATATTAATAACATTGATAATAAAGATACGGGATAATAGCCTAACCCCCCCCCCCGTTATTCCTTCCTGCACCACAGGACGGCACTGTTTCCTGTTTCCCTCAGAAAGGCGGCCGTGAAAAAACCGTTTCAAAAAAGCCCCCCCAAAAGTTATTTTTTAAACATGAGACTGCGGTGCCTGCTTTTCTATCCCTTCACGAGAGGGTTCGAGCTTTCGTAATACCGTATTAATCTTCATAATGAGGCGTTTCAATTACTAATGATTCGGAATAATAAACTTCAAACCCCCGAGTGACGAAAAAGTCGCTGCGCGAGGAACTGGGCGGGAAAGACTGAAAAGAATGGGCGGGAAGTCGCCCGCCACAGAAAGGTCGTTCTCCTCAGGCGTCGGGGGGCGGGGGGGTCAGCCACGGTGAACGGACAAGAACTTCACCGCGCCGAAGTTGTCCGCGCGAAAGGAAGTTGGGGGGACGACTTAGGAGGAGGGACGGGAAGTCGGCCATGATGGGAAGGTCATTTTTCAAAGGAACGTGATCGTCTCAAGAGCGGCATTGAGTGGTGGGGCTTTCTCGGTCGCGTTTCTCGGTCTCCTTGGTTCTGGGTGAAAGGAGGGAAAAAAGAGGACGTGTGAGCGGGTTGCCTTCCCTCTTTTGGTTTTTCCTAAACAATAAAACGTCCTTGTGCGCCAAAAGCATGGTTCCCTTTTTCCCCTAATCAGAATGATTACATTTATAGCAACGGAAATGTCATTAAAATTCTTAAAATGAAATAAGAATCGGTCAATTTAAAGCTCAGCAAAAGAGGAATTCGTACCTTGAGAGAAGAGAATGGGAGACCGAGAGCTGCCCTTCTCTTTGGCTCCCAACCTTCCCAGTCTTTCTAAAATAAAAGGCCTCGACCTCAGTGAAACTGCTCCCCCCCAACGCCAAAAAGTCCAAATCCCTCAAGGACAACTTATCTCTGTTTCCCCGAGTTCCTTTGTAACAACCAGCAAGGCGTCCAGGAAGCCCATCCCCCTTCCTCCACTGCTTTCCCCAGAAGGCTCAAGCTTTCAGCCAGCAGGCCTTTTATAGGACTGGCCCCAATCAGCAGCAGATTGCAAGCCACAATCTGCAAAGACTCAAGTTGCATATTGCCTCCACGTTTGGCCTCATGTCCTATTGATATTAATAAGGTGTTAATAATTAAGATACAGGATAGTAGCCTAAAAAAAACCATTAAAAGGGTTTTTTTTCTGGCTGCTATTCCTTCTTGGACCACAGGAAGGCCCTGTTTTCCAATTCCAGGCTGCTGCAGAACAGGCACACGAGAAAGAATCCGCTTTCAAAAAATGCCATTGAAAAGGTGTTTTTTTCTGTGCACACCGACTTTCACCAGAGGAGGGCGCCGTTTTCTGTCCCGTAGAGAGCATTGAAGTTTTCGTTCCCCTTTTTAACTCGCTTTAAGAAGCGGAACTCCTCTCCCTGTGTTGCGGCCCCTAGCCGTATTAATGTTAGTAATGATGCGTTTTATCATGGTGATACAGAAT